ACTGTTCAAACATACATTTAAAAGAAGCCAAAGGGTCACAGAATTCTCGATTTTATTTACAAGGCGTATTCAAGGCAAAAATGGAAAAAAACACAGTTTTAGCCAAATTTTATGCAGTTTACCATGACCCATGGGCAGACTTCAGTTTGAAACAGTTTTATTTATTGCCCCATAAAAGAGCTTGCCAAAACCTCCTTGGCCTATTTATGTATTTTAGAAGCAAATACAGCCACTCTGTTGTGCCTTTGGATCAATAGTGGTGTAGGTCTTAGAATTCAGGCATGGAGCTATTCAATATTAGTTGTATTATCTATATGAATAATTCTTGTATAAAATATTTGCTACAAATATCTACAAAATATTGAATTTTCCCCAAAAATTTAATTTGGGGATTTTCATCTCCCCTCAGAGCTCTGTGTGGTGTTTCTCTCACTGAGCTTGATTTTAACAGTAAAATTTAAAACCTCAACACCATAAGCAATCTTTTCTCAACACCCAGAGCCCAAACCCTTTGTACGTAGTGAAACGTAGAACAAGAGGCTGGATTTTACAAGGCTACTGTTCCACTAAAATACATTGCTTCTGGGTCAATAGTTCAGTTTCTGATAACCTGTAGACACCACAGGGTGGATTACTTTAACACACTCTCTATGTCATTTGGATTCAACATGCTCTCTTTCTTCCTCTGTCTCTTTCAGTCCATTGCTTCCATCTTCCTCACATCACAGCTGATCATCCCCGGTGTTACAGTTCCGATGAGACCTCACTAATCCAGGCCTGTCACCACTTATCCCAGGCCCCTCACGGGTATTCCCAGCCCATTGATTTCTCCCCTGACCTCCTAAAACAGCAAAAATAGAGTGCTGAGGGTAGAGTCGGGTAATCAATAGCTGTAACCAGAAAACAATGAACAAAAGCTGCAGTGATCCGCTTCTGCGTGACCCCACTCTCCGGTCCCCGTGCTGACACACTTCCTGCTACAAACCACGCTGTTTTTAAGTGCCGAAGTGCTTGAGGAAAAAAATGTTTCAAATGAGATTTCATGCTTGCAAGTGAATCAGAACGCAATTAGAGATGACAATGATTAATTTCAGGCTGCAATCAAGATGTACCCCGTTCAGATTTACGGGGAAATGTCGAGTCGCCAGCACCGGCGGAGATGAATCTTCAAGCAGCTCATCTGCCTTTATGCACAGCTTTTGCCTGTCTTTGGCTGGGAGATAACATGCCCTTCACAGAGAGATGAAAGAGATGCACAAATAGATCTGCCGCTGTCACCAGATCAAATGACACAATGAGCAGGAGGAGCCTCTATAAATGACACACTTAACATAAATGCAAGATGATACTGGTGAGGAGCGGAGGGGCGGCTCACTGCCTGCTTCGTGCTCGAACCTTCGAATGGATGCTGAGCCGCTCTCATGGCTTCCCTTGTTCAGGTTCAGCGGGAGTGTTATGGCTACAAGAGGCAAAACGCAAGAACAAAGACGTTGCTTGAGCAAAAATAGTGCTTTGAGCTCAACCGGCAACAAAAGGTTTCTGGATCTTATGTTGCATAAAGACATTTAATTACACCACGTCTCTGCTATGTCAACATGTACTCTAAATTTTGCTTTCCGTTGCTGATTTCTATGGGAATATAAACATTTTCAGGATAGTGTTGGGTTTGGCAAGAGAAGCCACGTCTGTTTGCTGCATCATCCGGTCTATGCTAATTGGCTAATTACAGCGGGGCGCCTCCCACCTCACCCCTCCTTTCGTGTGTTATCGCCACATTTTGTCAAGCAGGTGGCCACGGGCGGCTGTCTCATTGATCGGTCCAGATTTCCACTTGGGTGCACCTCTTTGTGCCCCAGAGACTTCCACTTTAATAAAAGCATATTGATTGATTGCTATGATTTGTGTTCATGGCCTGATAGCAATCATTACCGTTTCTGTTTCTCATATACTGCTGCACATTGTTTTCCACTCCGCCCACTCCTTGGTATTACTTTCACCATCTTTTTTTTTTTTTATCCAATCCCAGGATCAGAAAAAAATAAATATTACAAAGACTTTTGGGAAAATGTGCCACTAATGTCTTAGAGAAAAAAAAGTGAAAAGTGGGATTTTTGGTGTGGTGACAGATCCACCACATCGCGAAAGCCGGCTGGCATTAGATCAGTTTTATGTGCATCACAGACCACAGATGTGTCATCACGGTGACACCATGTTGAATTTGTTTGTCAGCTCATCTGAGAGCGTGGATCTGGCATTGAATCATTGCTGTCTTTGGTTTTAAAAAGTGATGAGTATGTATTTACACTATGTATAATTGAATGAATTATATAACATGTATAAAGAATGAATGCCTTTTTCCCCTGAAGTACTTTTGTAAACTGTAAGCTAGGTTTATATTGTCCATTTGAAGTAATGGCCTCTTCCTCCATGATGGCTACATTTCCGTAGGGGATAATTACAATCTCCCACCAGCTTCAACCAGCATCTTTACAAGGTCTTTAGCTTTTGTTCTGGGGTTGATTTCCCACATTTCCCTACTGTTTATACCTGCAATTATTTGAAAAGTTGAACGTGGCGCCTGAACGAATGTAAACATTTGAAAGTAAAAAAAAAAAATTAAGAAAATATAATCTTCCACTCTTCGAAATATCATCATCTCAAACTGTTCATCCTAAGAAACATTCTTATTACTGGGGAGAGTGTTTTCACGTCAGCATGAGGTTTAACGCTACAGAGTTTATTACACAGACTGTCTGGCACCAGCAACCACGCTGCAACCCAAGTCTCATATGTCGTCTTCCCATCGCATTATAATTCTCGCTTTGAACCTCAGCAAGTCATCATCACTGTCTGTAGATGGCTAAGTGCATTTAGCTATTTGTGTTAACAATGATGTTATAATAATGTAATCATTGAGAGTATGTGAATATGATAATTACCTTAATATTTTTCTAATCCATGGGGACAACTGCAGAGATGAATGACTTTTTTCAAACAGTGTTGAAGTTGGGAAACCTCTGCCATACAGGAGTGGCAGCACACTGAAGTGCGACTGCTACGTTAGCATGCTAAAATGTGCCAGCTCAGGCTAAATATAGACTACAGCTAGGGTTTATGTGTTTATTTTGACTAATGGGGATTTGAATACATTACCAGCTAAAAACTGTGATCAGTTAGACATTTGTGATTCAAATAACAGATAATCTTTTATGTACGGCCTGTGATGGACTGGTGAGCTATATTCTGACTCTCACCCAACAGAGACAGGCATTGGGTGAGCACAAATAATTTTGGATATAACTCTGAAAGTTAAACAGCACATTTAGAGGCGGCAATTGAAACTGACATTTGGGACAAAAAAAAGTGCAAATTAAAATACTTTTTTTTTTCTTTAGTCAGGCCGAACTATGCTCAAAGAAACTTTGTTGTCTTTGTAGAAACGGCCAGTGTTGGGACACATCTAATTGTGACTCACGATGACACCAAACTGATAGTTTTGCTTGCATTTTAAGCAAAATTATTCATCTTGGTTGGACAAAAACTTAAATAAAGGTAGGTTAAAGTCTTTAACGACAGCATGGAGTGTAACTAAAACGCTCCACTAACAGTTCAAATAGAACAGTTCAAAGAGACTCAACTTCATGGTTACTCATTACAAGGTTATTCAACACTTGAAAGGAAAATTAGGGATGTTTTAATGCAAATGCAATGGCATCATGAAAAAAAAAAAAAAAAACTTTACAGTGTCTTTATGTGTCTGCATGTTTTGCCAGCAGCCTCACCGCAACATTAATCACATTTATGGTGATAATTGCCAGACTTCACAGGCGCCCAGCGTGGAAGAGGAAGTTGAAACAAGAGAAGGGTTGTGGCAAGGTTTGCCAGCATCCGCCTTCAGGAGACACCCCTGGAGTCATGAGTGCGATGTTGGCCACGGCATCCAGTGTCACTCCCGTGGAAAAGGTGGAAGCTGAACCATTTGACTGCCTTTCTTTTTTCTTTTTTTTTTTTTTTTTTTTTTTGCTTTCCTTTATTTTAGCCCAGGTAGAACAAGGTAAAACACGAAGCAGACATTCCTGTTGGCGACCTTTTCCTTTTACAACCATCTCCTCTCTAATGATGATGAGAAGAAGTGGAGGCGAGCGACTCCGCTTCGACAACTGCATGCTGTTGAAGATTAATCTCCACTGCTCTGTTTGCACAGCCTTTTGTGTTGGGTTATTATTGTATGTAAATCCTCGGAGCAGCACTCTCCGGCACACACGCTTTACAGCCTCGTTCTGTTGTCAAGGTTCCTCCTCATCATATCGGGAATGGGGAGATTAAATGAGTCTCGAAGGTGCTCAGTTCCCCTATTCCAGTCTTCCATCATTTCCATCTAGACTTCTAAGACTGTAAAAAGCACCCTCTGTGACTGTAAATGCGATTACCAGCACCACTTTCCTCTCCCAGGTTTGGATTAGTTTCCACATATTGGGTTTCTCCATCTCTTGCATTCTTTGTCCGGGCTGCGCAATTCATGGAAACTTGAAATGAAGATAAAACAAAACATATTAATTGCCCTCTTTCTGTGACTGTAAGCTCGACTGACAACTGGTGCACATACTGTATTTTTTCTTCTACTGTTCTGCACTGCATTTTTTTTTTTTTGATAATTCACCAGAAATATTCCATGTAGCATCCCATGGTTTTACACGCTTCCTTGCTTTGTCATTGACAGTCATCAGATCCTGTACTTTGAGTCACAGTTACCGTTTGCATACATGGTAAGTTGGTTTGGGCAAAAAAAAAAAAAAAAGGAACAATAAAAATAAATATAAATATTTATTATATTTTTATACATAAATAAATGTAGTCTTTTGTTTCAACTTATTGTTACTCTCAGACCTAAAAGATCAAAACAACCAATCTCCATGGAAACGAGATTATAAGCACCATAACGAGTTCTCCAGGTTGAACATGGCTGAGTGGTTTAAAAAATAATACATACAGAGTCTAATGTTTATGGAGCTGTCATCTTTTGAACAGTGTTATCGCGGAGACCATAAAAGCATCCTGCCAAACGTAAACATTTTGACAAAGGTGAAATCTGTGTTGGTCGCTGAAAGAGACTGTAAGTAAAGGCTTATACATTTGTCACATATGTTTGTAATAATTCACACTAATGTTTAATAATTCACTTTGCAATATATGTAGAATTATGTCATCACTTAAACGTGCCAATACAGAATTAATCCTTTTGTGTTGTGTTTCTCATTTATTTTATCACGACTATTAAAGTTGAGGGAAGTTTGAAAAGCATCTCTTTAAATGCATAGTTAGCTTAGCTTAAGAAAACTTAAAATTTTAAAACAGTGATTAAAAAAAAGAAATTCTCTGGGAAATTGGGGAATTCATTTGATTTTGGTAATCCTAGCTGACCTAAAGCAGGAAGTTAAGACTGATTTAAAATAATATGGTAAGAAATGAGGTCGTCTCTTATATGGTGTATAAATGTTTGGTTTCAACTATTGACCCTTTGCTACGCCACTTAATCATTCGAGGAGTCAAGATGGATGTCGGAAGTGAGGGACGACTACTGAACACAGCAAATGAAATAGTTGTCCACAGTTGTTTTTGCCAGCACAGTCACGGCTTCTACTTGTTTGAGTCAAGCTGATGTGTCTGTGAACATAGCACACTTGGCTGGGGTTTGGTTATTACAAAAGTTTGAAAGAGCTCGCTTCGAAGCCGACCCGTACCTCCTCCATCCTGACGTGTTGATCAAACTGCAGACTTTGCCTGATTTCACACCATAAGTTATGCCACTATGTCATAAACAGCATTTCCCCTTATACAGGAGAAGCATTAAAAACATACAAAATCTTTTTTTTTCTTCTCCCGGCTACATGACGGTGGGGCATCGTTTCCATGGTTACTAATGGTTAGATGCATACCTTCACCATAAAGTAATATTTGATGTATTTCTAATCATACAGACTTATAAAGTATATGAATGCTAATCTAATCCACAATTACACCGAGGGTGGAGAGTCATTATGATTGACGGCTGCTATCGCCGCCCTATCTTTCGTCCTTAAAATAAAATGACAAGTTTGGTTTCTATCCTTGTCTATTCATGCAGCCGACCGTACAACACCGTATGACCATTTCTAATATGAAATTGACTAAACAGAAGTGACATACCGGCTGTCTGTTTTTTAACAGGCTTTAAAGTAGTGCATTGGTTGTTTTGACGTCTGTCATGGCGGAGCCGGCAGATTTCTGAACAGCATGAGATCACGTGCAAAGGGTCAACATCTGAAACAGTTGCCACTGCTGTACAAATAACAGCAATTCACATCTATTTTACATATCATAAATGTTTGTTGTATGCAGAACTGAAATGGAGAAACTTTGTCTGGAAGAGAAGGCTGGTGTTAGCAACACTGTGACATCACTGGAGGAGGTTAGTTATTAAAACATGCGGGAAACTGAGTGCTACTTTTTGGGTTGTAATAGTCTTTCTGCATTTAGTTTGAATGTTCTGCCTTTGCATGCGTGGGGTTTCCCTGGATACCGTGGCTTCAGACCACACTTCAAAAACACGACAATTATTTTAATGTGTGTTCTCTGAATTGCTGTAAATATGGCTGTGTGTGCGCATGGTTCTTTTTCCTGTGTGTCTCTTTGTTGCCCTTCGACTGGCGACCCAACGTGACCCAACTAAAACTTTTCATGTTAGCCTACAGCAGGGGTCTGCAACCTTTATAGTACAAATAAATATTCTTGCCTTCAATCCAGATATAAAAAAACCCCCAACAACTCCATTTTAGAGCTACAAATATTTCATGACTTGTAATTTTGTTGGACATCTGACTATAGAAAATCTGTTGTCATTTTTAAAGAACCGCCACTTTATTTGTATTCAGGGATTTAAACTACCGTATTTTCCACACTATAAGGCACACCTAAAAACCTTAAATTTCCTCAAAAGCCGACAATGCGCCT